TGGGCCTAAAGGACCACTTTACATTCTCCTCAAGGGACCCGTATTTTATGGGGCCTTAAGTTTACACATTTGACAGCCCCCCCCCTTTAAGAAAAAAAAATATGTGACTACAAAGTTAGGTTCAATATGAAGAATGAGAAATCACAACACACTACACATTTCTGAAAGTTGACACAGCCACACACCAAAGCAAGCGGGAGAGCAACACAGCGGTGCCCCTGTGGCACCTCTGGAGCATCTGGGCCCCACGCGTCCCGCCGATCACCCGGTCACATGGCGATGGTTCCACGATACGGGGCCAGAGCAGAACTGTTTCTACAGTCCGCAGTCTTCCCTCAGCATGGCTGATAGAAGCCTGAGTTACTGGTACTTCAGAAAGGTTTCTTTTGTCATCGCGGTACACAGTGGCACAGATGTGAGTTTTTAGACCTGTTGGGGACACTGTTGTGACGTTTCTTTCACGAGTGAGCAGTAAGGTTCTGGGACACACCAAGAACCGCTGCCCTCCCGTCCTCTGCTGAGCGGAGCACACTTCTGTCTCAGCGGGTGAACGAGAGCCGTGCCCTCCTCTTCCAAGTTCACACCCCCGACGACTGAAGAATTTCCCACAGACTGGCTTTGGGCACCACACGTTTTAAGACTTGTGTCCCCACTGCCTCAGGCAACTCACCCACTCCTCTGGGCAAAGCTCTGCAGGACGTGTTCACGTTGCAACCTCAGCCTCGCACTTTCCGGTCAGAGTGACGGCACACTGGGCAGCTGGCACTGCCCTGGAAGCTGTCCCTACTCCAGGATGACTGTCAATAACCTGACTAGACGTGGAAGTGACTGCAAACCACACTGACTATCTCACTAATTCCTTGACTACCCCTCGGCCAAATCCCCAAAACACCCATGTGGCCTCAGCACCTCCCCAAAGAAGGCAGTATGATGGGTGAAGTGGGAATGGAACAAGGGACCCCTTTCAACCAACTGCAGTTGAAGCACCCCGCTCTCGCAAACCTTAGAAAGCCTTGGGGACATGGGAACCCACTGCCAAGGCCCCTGCAGGGACGAGGAGGGGCCCTGGCTGCAACTGCACTGCTCTGGGGACCCGCCTCAGCACCCACCGAACCTTGCACGGTCCCGTCTCCGACCTCACAGGCACTTGTGCCCGCTTCCGACCTCCCTGAGGGAATAACACAAGCCGTCCACAAGCTCCTGCCGCCGCTGCCTCCTGCCTGCCCAGCCCTGCGCACCAGGCCCCATCGCAGGCACTTGTCCCTCCTACACAGCCTGCGTCTCCCTCTCTGCTGGGTCATTTGGTGTAAAAACACTAACTTCTCCTCTATTTGAAAACAAGCCCTCTTGCTCCCACACCTGCTGCACTACTGCCCATTTCTCTGCTTCTTTTACAGCGAAATCCCTGGTCAAGAAAGGCCCTGTGGCCAGGCGTCCCAGCTCTGCGCAGAGCAGCCAGTCCCCGAGCAGGTGACCTCCACGCCCTTCTCCACTAAACGCAGCAGGACCCCGCGCCCTCGGGCTCCTCTGCAGGTTCCTATCTCCCCGGCCCTTGTAACACTGGCACGTGCCTGGCACAGCCTGAGCCCCTTGATACCCCCTCCCCCGCCAGTGGCCTCGGCCAGGCTGGGGACTGTAACTTCTGTGTCCTGGTGACCCAGAAATGCTCGTCTCCAGCCAGGGCATCTGGGTGTCTCCTCCACATTCCCACCCGATGCCTGGGATGCACCCCGGCGCGGTCTGTGGCCACCCGGTCCCCAACTGCACTCCCGCCAGTCCTGTGTATGCCACCTCCGTCCTTCCAGGGGCTCAAGCCTAAACCATGGAGTCGCTCACTTCTCTTCTCTACCCTCCTCCCTGAGGTCTGCGCCCCAACCACCTGTCACCTGGGTTATCAGGTGGCGGCCTCCCACTTCCTCCCTTGCTCCCTCCCTGCTAGTCTCCCTTGAACCCAAGTCAGACCACGGCCCTCCACTGACTGCTCAAGCCCTGGATGGCCCCCATCTCCGAGAAAATCATGCCGGTCCTGCTAACTAGCCGCCTCACTTTGTTAGATACGTACTCCCTTGGAACAGTCTTCACACTTCCCTTCTTTTGCCCCCTTTCCCCAAGTGTTCTTGGTCACCAGTGTATCCCCAGAACCAAGAATGGTGCTGAGCAGATGGTGAGTGAGGGCCACCAGCCAGGGCTCTGCCGGATGGGCTCGAAAGGCATGGACCAGGAGTGTCCATCTTTTAGGCCTGTGTCCTGGTCGCTGTCCCTCTCCTTTTGGGTGCCGCGTCGCCTGTATCAGATCCTTCTCCTCCTAGTCTGGGACCTCGCCCCTGCCCCGCCCCCACCCCTCGTGTTGCCTGGTGAGCCTGGGCCTGTGGACTCCAAAGCCCCTACCCTAGGGGGTTGGTCCATTCTCACATTGACAGTGCGGACCTCCCACTCCCAAAGCCTTCCACAGCCCTGCCCCCCGGGTCCACATTCCCCCCAGAAGCTCAGGTCCATCCCACTTTCGAGAGGAGGGGATGCCTGCAGGGTGAAACCACCTGCCCAGCCTGCCTCCTGAGTCCATGAACCCAACCGGAGGTTTTACCACCACTGCGTGTGACCACAGTCTGGGAAGCACCACATTCGCCAACAGCTTAACCAGCCCCATCTGTGAGACCCCCCGCCCTGAGCCCCAGGGGCTGTGTGTCACCCCCTTCCCAGCCAGACCCCCCGCCCCTGGCACATGCTGAGGGAGCCTGTCGGTTTTATCGCACAGGCCTTTTGCTGAAGATCGCTTGGCCTCTGGCCACAGGCCTGGGAGCGGGGTAGTGGGAGCAGCATCTCCAAGGCAGGGGCCAGCCCTGGAGCCCACAGTCACCCACCTCAAACTCCCTCTAGTTATTGGTCACAGACACCTTGATGTATAAACCCAGGGAACAGGACTTGGGGGGAAAGGGGAAGCTCTAGAAACTGGCCGGCGACCGCACAGGTGCTTCCGGTTTCGGTTGCTGCCGGGGCGCAGCCCGGAGACACACACGTGCTGGAACCTCCAGGCCGGCCGAAGGTTTTCCTCGAGACACACAGAAGGTGCTCGATGAACTGGGCAATGTGTCCCAAGCTGTGGCCACTAAAAAAAAGGTCTGAGGTCAACACGGGTCTCGTGCTGTGCAGTCAGCTGCACCGCCGCCTGCATCTTCCAAAATGTGTCTGACCACGAAGCCCACCTCCCGCTCCGCACAGCGGGAGCCTGGGTGTGCACCCCTCTGGGGAGCGCCGGGCACACCGGTCTCTGAACTCAGCATTCCCACGCCCTGGGAGCGCTGTGCCTTCTATCTGGGTGTTTTAAACCGACATCATACACATGCACAGTCACAGTAGTGAACACAGAGCTGACCTCACTTCCAGCCCCCACTCCACAGGCAATGAGTGGGCTGCTAGCTTTCTCTAGTGCACTCACATTTCTAAGTTTTAGAAACTGCTGACTCCCTCCCACGGACAATGGGAACTTGGCCTCTTCCACTCTCCACAAACACGCGCAGGCCTCCCTGCCTCCAGACAGAGTCCGGGCACCAGTTCCCGCCAGAGCAGTACTGCCCATTATGTGTATGTTTACATGATTTGTATTCGGTATTATTCACAGCAAAGTCATGCAGGGTCTATGGTTCCTTTTCCTATTTTTTTTTTGTTTTGCAATAAATTGTCTATTTTTGTTTTGTGTAATTTTGCATCTAAGATTCATACCCAAATCCCACAACAGAAGCATAAACAAGCGCTGACACTTTCAGACTCACGGCCTCTCGAGGGCGCCCTGGCACCTCCTGTCTCCCCACCTTCCTCTGCTGATTTCTCTTTTTCTGGAGCCCTCCCTCAGGAAGGTCTGAGAATGGCTGCCAAGGAAGTAAATTTTCTGAGGCCCATGCAACTTTTCTGGGGCGCTTCTATTGCTCTGTTGCCCGTCTGGGGTCCTCCCTTCTCCAGAGCAACAGGGCTCCCTCGGTCCCCGCGTGTGGCTGACTGCCACCTCGACCGCCAGGTCCCACACTGACCTCCGGCCCCACGCTTCCTGTTCCTGCCGCCCGACCAGAAGTGCCCCCTTTTCTTCCCAAAGCTGAGTGGAGGCAAGGCAGCAGGGGGAGAGCAGACCCAGCGTGCGTCAAGGCCAGCACAGCCCCGCGCTCTCTGCCCCCTCGTTCACCTCCACCCTGCACCTCTGATTTCCTGAGGAGTCATCACCGTCCTGACGACTGTGCAGCCAACATTTCTGCCTTAAGGGTGGTGGGAATGGCTGACGCTCCTTTGTCACATCCTGCCAAATGCTTTTAAGTATCTTCAGACATATGAAGTGTATCCTCTACACCAGCAATTTTCAACCAGTGTGCTAGAATAATTTCTAAAACATGCAGTACCTATGTAATACCTATTAGTCAGGGGCACTAACCTCTTTTCCCTTAGACCATCAAATAAAAAAAATGACAATGGCTATCTGGTGTGAATGGATCAAAATAATACCTATTTTTTTGTCAGATAGGCAAAAATAAATTTTTGGTGTGACATGACACAGAATTTTAGTAATTATTCTACAGGTGCCATGGAGTGAAAAAGGTTAAATATCACTGTTCTACACTGAAGAGTTCACAGCGCAAATACACCGTTCTGATCTTCCCTTCAGGGAAACATCAGTCTCCATTCTCTGGGTCCTTCCTTAGCTGGGGTTTGGGTCACAGAAATGCTACTCCCCTCCCCCACAGCCCACAGAAACCTGGGGAGCCCAGGGAAGGTGCTCATCTCTCCCACCACCTGCCCCCGATACACAACCTCCCTGCTGACAGTGAAGACAGAGCAGTCCCGGCCAGGGCAGCAGCTGTTCCGCCTGGACACTTACCGGGCTCATGACACCTGGACAATGCAGAGGGCTCAGCACACAAGAGCCCCATCTCTTCAAAGCCCAAGGACGGGGACACCTTGTATTGTTGTTCTGGTTATCCCAGTGGCACTTAGGAGAAGGGGCGAAACAGAGCAATCCAAGCTTTTATATGATTGGTTTAATTTTTTTTCAGCAGGAGAAAAAAGAATAAAGTTACAAGATTCTTTTAATATTTCACAATGTTAAAACTAAAACTGAGCTCTAGGCTATGTGTGTAAGTAAATCTAGAACACAAAAGGGTTAAATAAGATTTTCTCTTTTAAAGATACGGAATTTAAGCTTCCTTACATTTAAGAAACTCCACAGAACAGATACTGCAGGGGAACAAGCCCCTCCCCCAGCTCTACCGTCAGGAAGTGACTGTGGGCAGCGAGCCCCGAGTGCCAGCTCCCCATCGCTGCCTCCAAGCAGCAGCAGGTGGGGCCTGAGGAGGGCAGAGGGCTCTTGGGTGGCCTCTTCGGAATCAGAGCTTGGCAGGGGCCTAAGTGGCCCGCCTCACTGAGGGTGGCCATGGACTGTCCGGAGGGCCGTGGCTTGACAAACAGTGGTAAACGTGGGCAGACCTGGCCCTCTGCCCTGGGTTGCCCTAGAGCAAGACACCGGTCTGGGTCCTGAAGCAAGAATTAAGGCTGGAGATTTTGCAGCGGATTCCACTCTGGTGGGGGTGGGAGTGGGGGAAGAGAAGGTTGGGAAGAGCATGATTTTCTCTTTCAGTATTTTGGATCAAAAACATTTGCAGTTGCAGGTACTAATTTGCAGACAGAGTTGAAATTCTTGTTGCAGTATAAAAGGGCAAGTTGCTGGGTTAAACCCTTCCAGTGGCCTGGGGGTGGGCAGATGCGAACTGCCTCTGCAGGAGCCTTCGACTCTTGCCGCCCTGGACCAGACAGGGGTGCTGGGCCACTCAACCCTGCTCGGCTCATCCTGTCTACTTACCTCACCCCCACCTGATGCGTAATTCTTTCCTAACGTGGGCAAACAGGCCCATCTCCTCCCTTCCCTACCTGGCCTGAGCTGCTGCACTCTTCTCTGCCCAGGCAAAGTGCCACAGGCTGCGAAATGTGCCCCTGGCCACCTGCTGGAGCAAGTGTCTCTTGGAGCTGGGCCACAGCCACCAACCACAGTTCTAGACAAATCACACCCACTGTCCTGGGGCAGATGCTGCCTCCCCTACTAAACCTGCTGTGTGGTGGATGTGGACTGGTTGTCCTTGGCTACAGGGCTGAACGGGCTGGAGAGGCGAGGCCATCCTTCCCTTGGCCCCCAGGGGGCGCAGCAGGCTCCTGCTGGAAGGGGCAGAGTCAGTCTGTGGACACAGCTTCCCAGGTGCTCCCAGCATTTCTAGTGATTCCTGTTGGCTATGAAATGTCTTTTTAAAAACTCCCAATATAGAAATCTAGTTGCAGAGGCCAGTCTGTGGAGCCCAGCCACAGCTGCTGTGCTGCAATTAGCCTTATTTGATCCATTGCCAGACCCCTGTACTTGGCAAGGGGCAAACCAGAGCCAGCAAGGTCAGGAAGTGTCCCTCCCTGGTTGCTCCCCCTGACCACGGGGTCGTGTGGAAAGGTGGTTCTCGTGCATGGACTAGTCTTGAGTGGAGCTAATTTCCAAAGTGAGGTTACTGTTTCTCTTCTCATGTGATGAGTTTTTTCATAGCAAGTCGGGTAAAAAAATTCCTAAGATTTTCATAAGAACCTGCTCCCCTAACCCCATTTCCAACTCTGTGGAAGAGCGAGGCCACCACCCAGCCAAGCCACGTAGTCAATCTCAGCAGCCTCCTGTGGCCAAGGCACGCGTGGCCATCCAGCATCCTGGCTCCCAGGACTAAAGACAAGGGAAGAGGTGAAAGGCCGGACATTAACCAGAGTTTCTGGCAGAGCCGTGTGCGTTGTGGGAACTTTAACATCAGCTTCTACTCCTCTATTAACTCAGAGTCTCTGTCTGGTACACTTTCCGCTTAAGGCTTTTTATAAGTCTGACTCCAGCAGTAACAGGTATGTGTTGTTTTAAATCCACTAGCCATGCTCAAACAAAAAATATTCTTCATGTTTTAATTTTATACAATGGCTAGCAGGCACCTTAGAACCAGCCAGAAATCAATTTCAACCACCGTCAACCCCTAAACTACAGTACCAGGATGGCTGGCTAAAGAAAGGAAACGACTGGCTGTGGTCTGACGCGTGCCCAGTACAAGGTGTCTGGCTGACTCTGTCCTAAATAAGGCTAACATTAGTGAACTAAGAACAGCGTCATGTGGCGGCCGTGCCCGGCCTTCAGGAGCACCCCTCCCCAATGCGCTGGCAGGAGCGCCCCACTTTCCGGTCCAGTTTCACCATTTTCATGATGGCTTCCTCTCGGCCACGGCCCATGTGGTCAAATGTACAGTCATGCTGCTCAGGGAGGCGATGTAACATACAGAACACGTAACCTGTGGGAGCAAAAGCAGCAGAGAGAACAGGGTTAGGGTAGCTTCCAAAGGCCCAAAGCCCAGGAGGACGAAGGGCACCTTGGTGAGTGGATGGGGCTCCTGCTACTGAGAGTTTATTACAGCAGCGCCGGGCCCCTAACAGGAGGACCTGCACCTCCACACTTCACGGCTCCTCCCCCAGTCAGTGCGACGTCCTCAGAGCATCCTAGGGGCAAGACCCTTGCCAAGGGCAGTTGCTCTGGAGGCTGACTCTGCATTTAATTCTGCTCCTGCCTGGGTGGACCGTGAAGGCGGAACCCTGAAGGAGGCTGCTGCTGAGAGACGTACCCCTTTCCACAGGAAAGAGCAGGCATGAAGCTCCTTCCCTCCCAGCCACCACGTAGATGAGAGGGCACAGAGCTGCCAGCTCAGCATTTCCCTGGCGTGGACAAACTGGATGACCACCCCAGGACACCACCATTTCCAGGAGGAAGAGCGGGAGCGGCGTAAGTGATGACAGCTTAACTTACACACTGCCTCCGGTACAGCTTGGGCAGGGGCGGGGGGGGGGGGGTAGATGTGGAGGTGTGGGAGTGATCAAACCCTAACCCACAAAGTGAGTGGGGGTTCTCAAAGGAAAATGGATTACGTCAAGTGCTGGGAAAGGTATTACAAATAGAGGAAAATCAGAATGCTGAGTTCTAATCATCACCTCAAAGGAGGCTGATGCTTCTAACCTCACTACGCAGGTAGGAGGGTGAAGCCCCACACTCAGGCCTTCCCACCCGCCCTACCCTCCCAGAAGCGGTGGAGGCTGCAGGGCTGGTCCTCTCCAGCCACAGAGAAAAACCGAGGGAGACACCGGGGAGGCTGGTAGAACAAAGCAAGAGGGAGAGGCCGAGGGGGCGGGTGAGTCCCCCTGACAGGAAAAAATGAGAAGCCTCAGGAAGTCAGAAGAGAGGCTCCCAGGACAAAGGGCACACACGGCAACACCAGAATGTGTTCCTTCCCCTCTTGTGGTCAATTTTCTAGAAATGCTAGGGGGTGGTGGTGGGTGGGTGGGTGGGTGGGTGTGTGTGTGTGTGTGTGACAGACGCCTGATTGTCCCCTGAGTCTTTCTTTGGGGGAGGAGGGGTCTGCGCTGGGAAGACTCCTGCCATTGCCAGCTGGCTCCTCATCCCATCAGTTGCTGGAACGTGCAGTCCCCATGAGCTTACACCACGTCCGCAGCACCAAACTGTAGGTGAATCTGAGTTCTTTCCGAAACCACTTCTCTCTGCGCCTGGAGCAGGCTCCCCTCAGCAGCCCTGCCACCCAGTGTTCCCCCCTCACTGTCCAAGCAAACAGCATCTTTTCTCAGAGACGTCTTTCTTTTAAGCCTAGATGCCAATGGCCAGGGCAGCCACCCCTTGCTAATCGCGATCCACCCATCTCCACATCTTCCTTTTCTTTTCAGAGATGAGGGGTGGAGGCAGTGATTTTAGAAGAAGAGCAGGTGAAGCAAAGACTGAGAGGCCAGGATGGACAAAAAGTTTGAACAGCCTTAACTTCTAAGATAAATTTCACCCAGAGAATATTCCTCATCTGCCACCGCTGTCCCCTGAGCTCCTGCTGTGTGCAGGCCTCGCCTGGGCCACCCGGTGCAGGAAAGCCGTCATTAACCGCTTCCCGGGGGGAGCGTGGCAGGCAATATGCTTGACTCTGAATTTGGACTGGGTTTAAGGAAAAGAATAGAGATGAAATTTCTGTCTCCAGAGAAGCTGAGCTCCCATCTGGTCCAAAAGCAAAGTTAAGACTAATGAGCTCATGTGTTATATTTACTGATAAGTTCATTAGTGGAAGCTATTGAAAACCAGTGGTCTTTCTCCTGAAGGACTTCACAGCAACACGTGGATGGTCTCAACATGTGCGCCTGTCTAACCACCACAATCACCCTTGTGAAGCGAAGCCCACCTGATGGAGGAGAAGCTGCTAGGTCCTGGCTTGGGGTGGGGGTACCTGCTATGTGCAGGAGGTGTGAGCAGTTTACTTCTGTGTCTGCAGCATCTATAAGGGGTGGGGAGATCCCAGACGAAGGTCCCAGAGGCTCTTCTCTCCTGATGATGAACGGCGCTGGCTCAATGTATTTCAGTGTCAGTAGTCAGGGTGGGCTGTTCTGGACATGGGGGAGGGTGGGATGCACCTTTACTCCCCTTTCTTGGTACCCACAAATCTATTTCCAGAAACCAGTGCAAATGTCATGGACTTTCAGTTACTGACGGAATTCTAGAGACTAGGCTGGGGCTGGGGAGAGAGTGTTCAGGCTGCTGGGAAGACGACGGCCTGTCCCTAACTTCAGTGGTCAACAGTTTTAAAGCACCAGGGGACTTGCAGCCCCCACCCTGGCCAGCCCACCCCCCGCACCGTTCACCAGGAACCAGGCAGAGTCTTTCCAGAGAGCTGGACAAGGTGGTGTCTGGAAGGGACCAAAGCACAAAGGGCACTGAGCTGAGCACCCAAACTGGGACCCAGGCTGTGGTAATTTATCACACAGCTTCTTTCCCTGCTATTTTAGAAAGTTATATATCAAAATCAAATTCACTCGCTCGCTCACGTACACACAATCCATACATATCTACACTTCCCTTATGGCCTCATGGTTCAGGTTCACGTAGTTCCCCCACCTGTTTTCCCAAAGGCTTGTAAGACATAAGTTGATTGGTTCAGCAGCTGGAACTGTAGGTGTACAACTCAGCTTCCCCATAGTTCTAAAAATATTTTCAATATACTCTTGCTTATAATCGTGTACCATACAGTGATCTTGAGGGATAAGGAGAAATATGGGATAGGAGAATATCAGTAAAAGGATGCTGACCTCCAAAAGAGGAAAATACCCAAGGCAAACGGTTCTGAAGATATGATCTGCCTGCTAAATGTGTCTTAACCTCAGGCCTTTCCTTGCCTTGTCACAGGGGCCCAGGTCACTAGGTTTCCATGAAACACAGCTGGGTCCAGGAGGAAGCCGCAGAGCTCCTTTAAGGCCCCAGAGTTTCTGGTAAATCTGCACAAACCACTCAAGAACCTTTGTGGGCATTTCTCTGCTTGCTGGCACTGAAAAGTACTTTGGGACGAGCCCTTGCTTGGACAGGCAGGGTGAGGCAGCAGCTCTAGTGCGGTTCCAGAGCCCCTCCACTCCACTCCAGGCTCCTCTCAACCTGCTACTACCTGGTGTCTGACGGGCCATCCTGGGCATGGGAACAGGGACAGCGGGCCTGATCACAGCAAGTGACAGCAGTCGGCCCCCTGTGGAGCTGGGCTGGAAGGTCTCCAGCAGCTACACTGTCAGTATGAAAAAAACCTTCTTCAACTAAGTGGGCAGCACTAGGAGGGGAGGGAGGAAATGCCTAGACCACTGTGCCGACACAGCCCCAGCGGGTGAACCACCTGGGGGCTCAGCCCAGGACACTGGCCCAAGCCGATGGCTGTGGACATGGAGAGACGGAGAGGGTGGGAGCTTCTCTGACTCTGTCACCATCAGAGACACAAGATCATGGATGGCATAAGGCAAAAAACATAATAAAATAAAAACTGATCTGAGACCTATCCAATCCTCTGTCCTGAAAGGATGCCATGGAATGAGAAATGCAGAAGGTAACATTTCCTCACTCAGCCTGAACCCAGGGGCCGGGCACCCCCAGAGCAGGAGTTTCAATGAAGGGGCTCCTGGGTGTAATCAAGCACATCTGGACTTGGCCCTCCTGGCGCAGACCTGGTGCTGTGACTCAATGAGCCACACAAACCTGAAGATGCCCACTGCAATGGCCCTGAGAACACAGTCCCAGCAGAAAATGAAATTGGCGCTCATTCTCCCAAGATTTACTAAGGTCTGACAGGCAGGTTTCTAAAAATGCTCATGTCATGGGAACCAAACCTCTGACCTGACCCTTCAGCTTTTCAAGTTATTACCTGTAAGTTATGCAATTCATTCAGAGGAACTCACAGCTAAACCTCACCTCTGCTGGCCGGGATATTTTAAGATTAAACAAAAAAGATCAAGAACAATCTGTTCAAACACCGTCATTAGGCAGAGATAACATAACACCTAACACCTCTGCTCTAAGTGCTATGGAAGTTGCAACCATATTTCCTGTTTGACTCCTCTACAAAAACCAACAGCAATGGCTGCCCAAGAGGAATACTCAGGCCTCACTGGGTCTGAGGAAAAGGGGTCTGTGCTCTCCTCCTCAGTTCAGGCAGGCAGGGCCCCCAGGGCAGCGAAACCAGCTAACTGGCTTCATTTGCCAGTTCCCTTCCCTCACTGCTCCACACCCAGAGGCCACAGAGAATGGCTACCGTCTGGGACAGTGAGGAAGGTGGGTGGAGGACAAGCTCTAGGGCCAAGCGGGGGTGAACCGAATACCCTGCGGGCAGTGCAGCCCCTTCCTTTGGCTGGGGCCTGGGCCCCAAGTCCAGCACTTCCTCCCAAACCCCAGAGATTTAGCAGAGGCTAGAACTGTCTTCTTCTATGGAATTTCCTATGGGAGACAAAGAAAGTGATGCCAAAATTCACATTCAAAGTCTGAGCCCCTGTCATTTTTATTCAATCCTGCCAGACTGAAATGTTGCTTTTTAGCTTTATCTTGGAGTAAAAAGCACCATTTAAAATTGGCAAAACCGGGCAGCTCTGGATATTTTGGATTTTAATTAATTAAACAATTATTTCCCTGCAGACTCCTCCCAAAGCGGCCATTTCAGAAAAGGCAGGGAGCAGTACGGCCTCAGCTCCACCTGCTCGAGTGTTTTTACCTCACTTGCAAGAAACGTTTTACACACTTTCTTTCTCATTTGAATTTCCAACTGTCAAAGGTTCAAGCAGAACCTAAAAACACTGACAGGCCTTGGGGACTGAGACTCTGTGAAACCTGCGGTGGTAGGCCACCTTGGTCCTGGGGTGCAAGCTGCAGTCTGGCGCTGTGGCCCTGGCAAGAGTGTCCAGTTAGGAGGAAAATCAGAAGCTGCTCCTACAGCTGCGCATGCGCTCC